GGGCATAGTTTGAGTCGAGTGAATTCCCCTGGTAAGCAACAGGGTGCGAGCCCCGGGGGGAGCACTTCAATTGAAAAAACCGAATGATCACCGGAGGGGGGGGGGTCAACAATAATTGTTCATCAGTAGTGAGAGTTCAACAGCAGCAGCAGCCGCAGCAGCAGCAGCATAAACAGCAGCAGCAGCAACAGCAACAACAACAACGAACACCAGGAAACAACAACAACAACAACAACAACAACAACAACAACAACAACAACAACAACAGCAACAACAACAACGACAACGACAACGACAACGACAACGACAACGACAACGACAACGACAACGACAACGACAACGACAACAACAACAACAACAACAACAAGAACAACAACAACAACAACAACAACAGGGTAGACACGTGACCTTGTTGCCCGCTCACCGGGAAAATTGGTCAACGCTTGTCCTTCAAGGACAACGCGTGACCTTGCTCCCCGGGGGTGAGCCCCCCCCCAGCAACCAGCAACCAACAACCTCGGCCGCCATTCCTCGCTCCGCTGTGACCTCGCTTGCTTAAGGGTGTGAACTCCGCCGTCATGCAATGTTTCCATGTCTGCGCCAGCGAAGCTCCGGAATGTATCGGCTCCTACATGATCCTAGAGAATCCTAAAAGAATCCTACAGAATCCTATACGGATCCTACAGGGATCCGACAAGATCCTGTGCGATCCTGCACGATCCTATAGCATCCTACAGGGATCCTAGAGGGATCCCATGCGATCCTGTAAGATCCTATAGGAATCGTATGGGGATTGTATAGGAATCCCATGCAATCCCATAGGGATCGTAAAGAAATCCGATGCGATCCTATAGGATCATGTAGGAATATTAGAGGATTGTGTAGGAATCCCGTGTAATCATAGAGGGATCGTACAGAAATCCCATGCGATTCGATAGGGTCCTATAGGAATCCGATAGGGATTCTATGGGGATGCGATGCGATCCTATAGGATCCTATAAGGAGCCGACAAGGATTCTACAGGAATCCCATTAGATCCTACGGGATCCTATAGGAATCGTATAGGGTTGGCATAGGAATCCCATGCGATCCTATACGGGTCCCATAGGAATCCTATAAGGATTGTCTAGGAATCCCATGCGATCCTATAGGATCCGATGGAGCTCATGTGAGGATCCTATGCGATCCCATAGGATGCTATAGCCATCATGAAGGAAACGTAGAGGGATCGTATAGGGATCCCATGCGAATCCTATACAACCTATAAGAATCCAAGAAAAGGATTGTATAGGCATCCCATGCGATCCTATGGGACCCTATAGGAACCTTATGGGGATCATATAGGGATCGTACAGGAAGCCCATGCGTTCCTACAGAATCCTATGGGAATCGTACACGAAGTCTATAGGAACCCCATGCGACCATGTAGGATCCTATAGGAATCCTGTATGGATTATATGAGAACCCCATGCAAACATATAGGATCAAATAGGGATCCTCTCGGAATTGTATAAGGATCCCATGCGATCCTAAAGCACCCTTTAAGAATCCGATAGGGATTTAATAAGAATCCCATGCGATCCTACAGAATCCTACAGAGATCCTATACGATCCTGTGGGTATTGTATCGGAATCGTATGCGACGTATAGGGGGCGTGTAGGAATCCCATGCAATCCTGTAGGATCCTATGGCAGTCCTACAGTGATTGTGTAGGAATCCCATGCGATCCTATAGGGATGGTATAGGAATGCGATGCGATCCTAAAGGATCCTACAGGAATCGTAGACTGTCCTCTAGGAATCGCATAGGGCTTGTATAAGATTTCCATGCGATCCGCTGCGGATCCGATGGGAAACGTGTACGGCTTTTGTATAGGAATCCCATGCGATCCTATAGGAGCCTATGGAAATCGTATGGGGAGTGTATAAGACTTGTGCAGAGCCGATAAGTATCCGATAGGATCCCTATATGGTCTTATAGGATGGTCCTAGGATCCTATACGATTCCAACAGGATCCCCGTAGGACCCTATAGGATCCCTATAGGATCATATAGAATCCTGACAAGGGTGTGCCCAAATGAACCTTCGGTGGAGCTCCCTGCGAGGCCAAGGCCACGATCCTCGAGAGGGGTGTGATGACATGAACCGAACCTTCGGTTGCTGGCTGCTGGTTGAGGGGGGGGTCCCGGGCAACAACAACAACAGCAAAAACAACAACAACAACGACAACAACAACAACAACAACAACAATCAGTTTAAGACCGTTCGCCCTTATATGCTTGAGTGTCCAATAACACGTATTTCCCAAACCCTCGATACCCGCCCTCTTCGTCTTCGATCGAACCCCTTTTGGGGGGTATACCTTTTTTCCCTGCTGGCCGGGCCCCGGCAAGCGGTGGGGGGATCAACCACAATTATTTTTCTGGCATGAGCACTCAACAACAACAGCAACAGCAACAGCAAAAACAACAACAACAACAACAACAACAACAACAACAG